ACTCAGTTGACACAAAACATCTAGTAGCACATGATAGCTTGCACTTCTGTAGGGTTTTTATAGACTCCAAAAGGATTGACGTGTGTTTGCATATCTTAGTTTGTCCTTGTCACTACTTTGCAAGATGGGGCAAGTATGTCACTCGCATGTTACAGTTGAGAAAACTAAGGCAAAGATAGCTAAGTGCTTTGGCTGAGGTCACGTAGCTGGGAAGTGTCGGGCCTGAGGCTGGGTCTCAGCTCATTGGACTCAGTGTCAAAACATTCTATCCCCTATAAGCATGCTTCTTTTTCAGATTTGTGTTTTCCTTTGACATAGAACTCAGATACTCAAGAGCTATTTTGGCATATATTCAAATCTGAAATAGAAACCTGATCTGGAATAATGATTTGCTTCTTCCCAAAGAGAGCCGTTGGAGGTCTGCGACATTCTGAAGAGTATCTGAGAATATGCACCATCAGGAGCACTAGTGAAGCTTTTAAAAAACGCAGATAATCAAGCATAACTACAACCGTATCCAATAAGAATCTCCAGGTGTGGGTTTGTTTGTGTGTGTGTGTGTTTGAAAAGCTAGAGAATTAACTCAGCCCAAACTAAAAAGCACAAGTTCAGATGTGGCCAACCTTAGGCAATCTGAGGACTGGTGAAGAGAATCACCGATTTGCACAGTGAATGGCTCCTGTGCTCAAAGACTTATACCATTTTGGGGTGTGCTTGGGTGGCTTAGGCTGGTAAGTGTCTGCCTTCCACGTGGGTCATGAAACGGTGTCTTGGGATTGAGCCCCATGTTGGGCTCCTTGCTCAGCAAGGAGTCTGCTTCTCCTTCTCCCTCTGCTTCCCTCCCCTGGCAACCCCCTCTATGCTGGCACGTAGGCTCTCTCTTTCTCCCTCTCAAATAAATAAATAAGATGTTAAAAAAAAAAAAAAAGACAAGCCATTTCCTTGCAGGTAAACCTAATAAAATTAATCTGTACTCAACTCATCCAGCAGCGAAAACAGAATGAATCATACATGATTGAAGATAATCAAAAATAAATTCGGCCTGGCAGTAGGGCATTGTTCTAGATTTACATTGAAGATCTGGCCTACGTGTTCCTTATAGAGTCATGTTCCTCATACGCAGATGACTCTAGTCATTATATCGTCTTCCTCCGAAGTCTTCCATGAGTCCCCAGCGCCTCTTGAATCATGTTCACAATCATCCAAGATCCCACCCAATTTGCTTTTACAGCCCATATGCCCCACCAATCCCACTCTAGGAACCTGTCCACATCAGAGTGCTTTCAATTTCAAAAAGCACTAGATTTCATTGGGTTGAGCCTTTATCTGTGTCCCTCAACTGAAATGTTCTTCCCCTTTCCCTTCCTCAATGTCTGTCCGCTAACACTCTGCCATTTCTTTGAGGGTTAAGATAATTAGCCCATTTTCTATAAAACCATCATTTGAACTAGAATTCTTTCTTTTCTGTGTTCTGTTGGTGGCTCACCCTGGCCTACAACATCCATCAGTTTCTGACTTATGTCTCGGAGTTAATGTGGTCTGAAAACAAAAATCAACTAGTGAATTTAACTTAATGTGGTCTCAGGATTGGAAAGCATCCAAAGACCTGGCAGAAAAAGCATAAAACCTCTCTGGAGGAAAGCCACATACGCCTCGAAAAGTTCCCACTCAAAACGTTCCAAAGAACAGGGCCCCGGAGGCAAAAATCACAAAACATACCTCGTCACCATGGATGAGAAGCAGCAAAAATGATGTGCATCAAAGTAATATTTCAGAATACCAGAGACCGAGAGATCTCAAGACCAAGCAGAAACAAAGTCAACTCACTTACGAAGCAGTATCACACTCCAGGTGAGTATGGTACGTGAGAAAACAAGGTGTAAGTGGCGAGTGTAATGGCTCAGAGCGTGCGTCCTGGAAGTGCACTGGTTGGGTTTCAATACCGGTTTGGCCCTTTGCAAGTACATTTCGGCAAGTTGCTTCACCTCTCTGTGACTTAATTTTTTCATCCATAAAATATGATGAATAACATCTTCCACTTCTTATCCTACCAGAAAAATGTGCACGTAGTTCCTAAAAGAGTATCTAACATTCACAATGGTAGCTATTATTATTAAAGCAATTAGGCAGCTGACTTCTCATTAGCAACAACAAAAAAGCAGAGGACAGTCAACCTAGCTGTCAACCTAGACTCTTGATATACCCATATATTTATCTATGTCTTTGTTCACTATTCCTTCTTGTAGTTCAGATTGTCTATCTGTTACCATTTTCCTTTTGCCCAAAGTACAATTCTTTAAATTTCCTTCTGTGAGCACTTGTTGGTTGTTAACTCACTAAGTATAAATAATATATGAAAATCACAGTGAAATATGAACACCATACATACGGTGTATGTGTAGATAGATACGTGGAAGTTCTCCTACACTGCTGTCAGGGGTTCAAGTTGGAAATGCCAGTTTGGAAAAGAGTTGGATATCACGGGACGCCTGGGTGGTTCAGCCATAGAGCGTCTGAGCCAGGATCAGATTGTGACCCCGGGGTCCTGGGATCAAGTCCCACATCAGGTTCCCCGCAAGGAGCCTGCTTCTCCCTCTGCCTGTGTCTCTGCCTCTCTGTGTGTCTCTCATGAATAAATAAATGAAATCTTAAAAAAAAAAGTTGGACATTACATAAAATCGTTGATCATGAACATATTCCTAAATATATAATCCAGACAAGTTTTTACATGTGTGCAATGAAAGACGTGTATGCAAGTATTCGTAGAAGCATTGTTTCTAGTAGTCAAAATCTGGCAATCATCTAATGTCTCTGTTAACAGAAGTATGGATAACTAAATATTATGCTCTTAAAGTCATCAGGATTATGATTGAATTTCAAAAAGATAAAGCTGATTGGGGAAAAAATTGCCATATTATTCCATTTCTAGAAAGTGCAAAAACATGCAAAACTAAATTCAGTTGACCCTTGAACAGCGTATTGGGGGTGCTGACCTCTTGCACAGCTGAAAATCCGTGTATGACTTTTAACTCTTTTAACTGCCTCAAAACTTAACCAATACCCTACTGATAACCACACCACACTTGGAACACAAGGATCTTTGGGGACCAGGGAGCAGGAGAGGGGCCAGGAGTCCCTGAGCTTAGAATTTAGCTTCCTGGGCATATTCATGCAGCTAACAACCCTTCTGAGACCTTTCCAACTCGCCATGTAAATTAGCCTCCATTCCCAGCTGTGTATCTTTGAACTTTCTGTGGGTTCTTACGTCAGTGCCCTATTCTGTGCTTATTAGAGCTTTCAAATACGCACTAGCTTTTTAACAACTTCTCTATTGTTAAAATTCCCCTTGTGGCCTTTATTAGCTTTGAGTAGCTGCCTCTATCTACTTGGGGACAAAATGTCTCAGAGGAAGGATCTCTTATCACCATATCTCCCACCTAAACCCCATCCTTCCCTAACAAGTTCTCTATTTTCAAGCCCTTTTCCAGGAAGAAAGCCATCTCCCTTGTCAGTCTCCCCTCCTACACCTGTTTTTGGCCTGTTTGACATCATCTTTGCCTCAGAATAAATTGTGGGTCATCTTAATAAAATTCAAAACAGAGAATTGGTCTTTCAAAATAGTCACAAAATTTACTGGCATTGCTTCTCAGGTCCCCACTGAAGAGGCATGGTTGTCGTACCATAATTCCACTAAAGCTGACACAACAAAAACCCTTTGTCCCAGTTGAACAATTTATGTACGTGTTCGAGGGGCTATCTAGTCTCTCAAACAAAAAGAACTGTATCTAAAACTTCGGGACACTCTGGGCTTTCACTTCGGTAAATAGAGGGCTCCATTTTGTTTTCTTCCTCAAGGACAACATTCTTTACCAGATGAGATGTTTCGCTCTGACTAGAGAAAGGGAAAGTCTTGGAAAAAGAAAAAGTAAGTCATTAAGCATGCTCTGTTTCTCTCTCTCTCTCTCTCTCTCTCACACACACACACACACACACACACACACACGCACGCACCATAGGTTTAAAGACACCATAACCCACAATCCCTGCATTACTGTTCAGCCCATGATCTTGGTTGCTCGCACCTTTATCTGGGCTATCTTGCCCTTGGAGAGTTGTTGAGATTTCTAATCACCCTTGGAAAATCCCTATGACTTTACAATACAAACTCATACCTTAGCTTTCACCCTCCTTCTAGCACATCATTCTCTCACACTCCTGAGCCGCTAAGGCTGCTGCGTAGATACCAGGCATGATTGGCCTGGATGCCTGGCTGGCTGGCAGTTCTTCTCCATCTCACTTGTGTCCAAGATATGGGGCCTCTGCAAGTCCCATTTCACCCTTCTCCCAGCTGAGACGTCAATAGGTTTAACCCTACTGCAGGTGTAGGTTCTGACCATCCTTGCTCCATCGAAGTAATCCCTTACTTGGTCTAGTTTAGGAGCCGGTGTGTAACCTGAGTAGATCTAGCCAAAAGGCAGCCCCATGACCTTCGTTAAATGCTTTGAGGAGATACCCTGTTTCTTCTCCTGGGTGTAAGGAAGGAAGCATGTAGCCTCAGGCTGCTTGCAATCGGCTTGTTTCCATGCGGGGGGATTCAGCCATCAGACCAGCCAATACCTGGAGAAGACTCACAGGAGCCCCAGCTGAATGGGGTCTGGAGCCTTACTTCTCTCTCGATGTTACAGTTATGTGAGATAATGATTGTTTAAGCCAGTTGGGTTTTCTGCTGCTCGTGACTAAAATATATCCTGATATACTAAATCATCTCTGATCCCAGGAAGTGACTCCCAACATCCCAAGAGGACCTCCCCTCCCTCGGCAGGACTGGGTGAGCCTCCCTCAGCGGCCCAAAGTCTAGCCATTTCCTGCTTTCATTTCTCCTGCCAATGTTCAGTGCCCATTAATGGTGGCCTTTCTTTTCTGTCTCGTTTCTTAAAACAAACAAACAAACAAACAAACAAAACCCACAGAATTGATGCCATTTTAAAAATTTAATTTAAACTTAATTTTTATTTCAGCAATACATATTTACAAGTTAGATGGCTAAAAAGTCCTTAAAAGGAGAAGAGAAATTTCCACCTTATTGTCCCACCCCAAACTTTCCAGAGGCCATCCCTGTCCATCCTTTTCACCGTGTCTTCTGGATGGTAGCTCCTGTTGCTAAACAGGATATAGCTTTTATCATTTTGATATAGCTTTTATCATTCTCTAGCTTTAGTTGTTATGCATTTTCTGTGATGGAAGATGGAGACCTAGATGACTTACACCCCTCCCCCACATACATATCCTCTCATTTCCTAATAGAAATTATATCACAGTATTTTGTTTTTACGTTATTCCACATAATTCACAGGTGAGCCATGTAGTGTACTATGATTACATTTTTGTTCTTAAACAATAGTTTCTTTTTATGAGCATTCAATGAACACTGTGTCTTTTCCTTTGTTTATTTTTCTATGTATTTTCACTAGTTAATCCCAAGTGCTTCAAAAAAACATATAAATCCCTCCAATGTGGCAAATCAATTAGTTTCTTGTTTTTCTGCTACCACCAACATCCTATGTTGTTCACTTTTCTCCTGTGTTGGATTCCTTGTTTCCTAGATGTCGTGTTTTTCTCTATCTTGGCTTAATCATTTATTTTGGAGGAGCACATCCTCCAGTTGGTTTCCAATAAAAAGTGCAAGGGTAATAAAAGCGTTGACACCTTTCTTCCTGAAAACGTCTCTATCAACCCTGTCATTTATTTGTAGGTATTTTCATGTTGTGGCCTTTGTCCACCCCACCCCACTCTCCACTGCCCCCAAAGTGGAGTGGTCATTGTGCATAATTAAGAGTGAGGCTCTAACAGGCTGACTAGATGCTCTCTGAATAGAAGGGATTGGTTGCGGTATGGACTTCCCTGCCAGGGAGATAATAGGGCAGGTGCCAGCTTTTGTGTTGGGAAATCCTCAACAGTCTGTATCTGTTAGTCTTTCCCTTGGATTGTGTTGTTTCCCCACAGGAGGATCCTGCAGGCTCCTGTTTTGACAAGATATGAGTCTGACAGCATTCTGACAGCTGAGTAAGGGAAGGGTCCTGGGGCTCTTGTTTACTATAAAGATGTTCCCTTTCTCCCTAGCTTGAGAACACCACCTCCCTCCCACACCCCACTCTGCCTGAGGTCAATGACTCCAGAGAGAAAATGAGGAGGGGAAGGTGCCTGATGGGGAAAGGGAACTTCTATTCAGAGTTTCAGCCAATCTCCCAGAAGGTTCGTAGGGGGAGCAGTGGAGTCAGCACCCAGCTAACCCTTCTCCACAGATATCTTTTAAACTCCTACCACCTGTGTGAACTTGAACAAGTTTCTCAATTTCTCCAAGCTTCGGTTTCTTCATCTGTAAAGTAGAAACACAAGGCTTCGGTGTAAGGGTTAAATGGAGTTACTGAATATGAAGTGTCTGGCTCAGTCTGCCCAGCATGGAGAGGCCATGCAATTGTGGTGGTACAGTGGCCAGGGAGGTAGTAGTTGGTAGTCTCCCTAGCTCTGTTTCAGTGGATGGAAAGGACCCCTTCCCACTATCCAGTTCTTTTCTATACTCCCTCAAAAGGAAAGCCACCCTATTCATGTGCCACCAAAATATTAGTAGAATTGCAGGGGTACAACCACCTTTGCAACTTGTCCTCTACCCCACCCTCTCTCTCATTGCCCAACCAAATGCTTAGAGCAACCTCCTCTGTTCTGGCTCCCATCCCAATAGATTAGCATGCACGATTGGGACCTTCAGTGAAGTCAGTCCCAACCCAAATCACAAGAGTAAAATTGACCCTCTCCTTTCTACCATTTGACACGTAATCCCTCCACTCCCTAGACAAGGCCCTGGTTCTTCCTCCCACTCTTCTATTCCTTCTAGCCCCCAGCAAGAGAGAGGCGAAGGGAATCTTCTTGCCTGCAGTGTGCTAGAGCCTCTCTCCCAGTGCAACATGAAATTTCTCTTTCTCCTTACTTTTTACCAGCTCTGTCTTGCCCCAGTCCTTCTCTCCCCCTTTCTCTCACTGTTCTTGTTTGGGACCTTGACTCTGCTTTGACCAAGGGCAGCCTTCCTCACAAAGTCTTTTCAGTGAATTCTTAGGATGCTTTTTCTGGTCTGCTCTGGAACCTCCATTAGCTTTGTTAACTGGCTATGCATCTTAGCCAGTTAGAAGAGGAGCTGGAGAAGCTGGGGAAGTTGAGGTTATCTTAAAGTTAATTTAGAATACCTGGTGGGACCAAGATCTGGTACAGAAACTGATGAAAAGAAGCACACAACGTGCTGAGCATCTTTTCCCAGTCTGACATGTGAGGTTGCAAGACAAGTAGAGATTTTGTCTGCTATATTTCTCATTTCGAGTCAATCACTGAAAACACATCTAATGCAATGTTTGAAGTAGGACTTATCAACAAAAGTCATGGTCACTTAAATGTTAGGAGTGGACCTTTGTTGGAAACAGTTAAATCCATGGTCATTTGGAGACTATGTGATGAATGAAGGTAGGCCCAAGGATGCAAGAACAGGCCCCACCTGGCAACCCCTTAAATTTGTGTTTCCCTTTTCAACCACATGCAGACAGGAAGGCTGTACTTTGTCTTCTGTGCCTGCCCTTTTCTGAGTATCAACCTCAGTCTGTCCTTAAAATTTTCCCCAGCAAAGTAATAGAGCAAAGGATTGAGGCAGGTATTGGCTGCTGCCAAGGTCAGTGTGATGACTACAGCTTTATGCAGGTCCTCTTTGCATGTATTCACTTTCCACTCCATCAGGTGGAGAGTTCTCAGTATGTGATAGGGCAGGAAACACAAGAGGAAGATGATCAAGGCAATGATGATGGTGATAAGTGCCTTCTTGTGAGAAACCCGCAGCCCTGATTCTGGGACCTCTACTTTTAACAGGGCTCGAATGATCAGCAGGTAACAAATGCTGAGCATGCAGAATGGCAGCAGGAAGCCGATCACCAAGGCAATGTAGTTCATGGTCTTCAGTTTAACAATTTTATTGATATTCAGCTCTAAGCATAATACGACACTGCCCTTCTGCTCAGAGCCATTGTTCAGAAGCATTACTGAGGAAGCCATGATAAGGATCCATATGATCCCACACAGAATCCAGGCACTCTTGATGCTGGTGACATGGAGAAGCCGGAAGGGGTGAACAGTTGCCAGGAAACGCATGATGCTCAGAACAGTCAGGAAATAAATGCTGCTGTACATGTTGACATACATAGAATAAGACATAATCCTGCAGGCCAGGTCCCCAAATATCCAATTGAAGTTTCTGATGTAATAGTCAGCTCTGAAGGGTAGTGTACTTGTGAACAAGAAATCTGAAATGGCCAGGTTTAGCATGAAAACATTCACAGAAGTGAACTTCTTATAAGATTGCAGGAAAACATATATGGAAAAGCCATTTCCCAAGGTTCCCCAGACAAATATTACCAGGTACACAATGGGGTAAAAATCCTTTTTGAAGTTTTCAATTGTACAGCTCCCATTGCTGTTGCTACTGCCAAAGGTGCCGTTGGGTTCCATTTCTGGCATGGAGGTGAATGGAGGCAAGGACATAAGTTTCTTCTCTATGGTGGATTAAAAAGAAACAGACACAAAAAGTTACTCCTCACTCACTACTCACATCTTTCCAGGTTTTAATGAAACAACTGGCTTTTCTTTGTAACTTGAGTCCAAAAATATCAGCAAAGTTTTTACTATATCCTCCATTATATTTCATGATAAATTTCTAGAATGCAAAATAAACATTGATTTATTTCATTGAAACCGAAGCCTCAAACTTGGGAGATATTTGGTCCAGTGCTTGCGTTAATACGACAGTCTACACCTACCAGACAACAGATGTCTCACCAGAATATTTGGAAGAAGACAAAAGCACAACATTTTTAAGTGCTAAAACAAAAGTCTACCAACCCAAATTTCTATATCCAGCAAAAATACCTTTCAAATATGAAGGAGAAGTCAAAATGTTCTCAGATGATGGAGAACTAAGAGAATTTATTGTCTGCAGACCTACCTTAAATGAATGGCTAAAAGAAGGCCTCTAAACAGAAAGGAATCAATAAAAGAAGGGCCCTAGGAACATTAGAAAAGAGGCAGAAAATGAAAAGCAAAAATATGGGTTAAGTACAATAGGATTGTCTTCTCTTTTTGAGTCTAAGTTACATTTGATGGTTGAAACAAAAACTCTAACCTTGTCTGATGTGATTCGATATGATGCAGGGGAATTTTTAAAGATAATTTTATTGTAAATGGGGGAGGGTAAAGGGACACAAAGGAGGTAAGGTTTTCACAACTTCACTTGAGTTGGTAAAATGATGATGCCAATAGACTGTGGTAAATGATGTATGTGTAATGTAACACCTGGAGCAGCCATTAAAAAGCTATACAAAGAGATATGCTCAAAAACACTAGAGCCAAATCAAAATGGAATTCTGAAAAGTGGTTGAATAACCAACAGAAAGATAAGAAAAAGAAAATAGACAATACAAGCAGAAAAATACAATCAAATGGCAGGCTTATCCCTAACAAACCAATAATTACATTAAATATAAATAGTCTAAATATACCAATTAAAATACAGATTGGCAGACTGGAATATATATATGTACATATATATATATATAATATGCTGTATATAAGAAATTCACTTCAAATAACAGTACTGGCAGGTTGAAAGCAAGAGGACGAAAAATATTTATGTCATGGAAATGTAAATCAAAGAAAATCAGGAGTAGCTCTTAATATCAGATAAAGTAAACTTCAGAACAAAAAACAATATGAGAGAAGGACATTATATAATGATAAAAGAGTCTATCTATCAAAAAGACACACCAGTTCTAAATGTGTATGCACCAAACAACCGAGTTGCAAACTATATGAAGGAAAAACTGATAGAATCAAGAGGAGAAATATACAAGTCCATGGTTACAGTTGGTAATTTCAAAATCCTGTCTCAATAACTGATAGAACAAATAGACAAAAACTCCTCAAGAATTGGATAAACTCAAGTACAACATCAACCAATGGGACCAACTGACTTACCTTTCACAAAAATTAACTAAAATGGATCATAGACTAAATGTAAAACTATAACATTTTTAGGAAAATAAAAACCCAGGAGAAAGTCTCTGGGATTTAAGACTAGGCAGAGAGTTCTTGGACTTGACAACAAAAACGTGATCCATGAAATGAAAAATTGATAAATTGGACTTCATCAAGATAAAACAACTTTTCCTCTGCAAGAGGTTCTGTTGAGAAGATGAAAAGACAAAATATGGGCTGGGAGAAAATATTTGCAAACCACAGATTTGACAAAGGACTAGTGTCTAGAATACATAAAGAACTCTCGAAACTCAGCAGTAAAAATAAATAAATAAAACCCAACCAAACAAAACCAAACAATCCAATTAGAAAATAGGCAAAAGACACGAAGAGATATTTCAGGCATGTGGGTAAAATATAAGCACATACAAAATTGTTCAATAGCACCAGCCACTAAGGAAATGCAAACAATAACTACAGTGGGATATATTTACACGCCTACTAGAACGGCTAAAATAAAAAATAGTGACAACATCAAGACATTCTAGTCACCGGTCAGACTTGTAAATCTGGTAAATAGTAACCATTGTTTCCTAACCTTCTAACACCCATTCTATCACCTATTGTCTTGAGTGTTGTTTTTCTTTAGGAGGAAAAGTCCGTAAGGAAAAGACAAGGGGGGGAGGCCGGTAAGTCCGTCCTCCAACCGCCCCAGGGACTGAGTGTTCAGAAGGCCTGGCATTCTTTAGACAAACTCTGGATAAACTTTGTGTAAAGTCATCATTTCAAATATTGGAATGACTTCCTCTGTCATATCTTTGTGATCCCGAGGTCTGCTTTGTTTAGTTTTTTTCAAACCTAACTTGAGGCAGGTGACCTTTGCCCAAATTTCAGAGATGGAAGGGCAAATAAGCTCCATCCTTACAGCACCCCAGCGCTCGTGGGGTCCATCCAACTTCGAACTGTACCTCTCCCAGGGCCACGAGGTGTCTTTCAGCTTTCCTCACTGTAGAGCGCCCATGCCACTGGCACAATTTCACCAGGGACCATGTGGAATTGCAGTGGCCACTTTGGGGAACTTGTGACATGAACAAGGTTGTTGGCTTGAGAGGCGCTCTAGGAGAAACAGTGAGGAAACCGTCAAGAGGACATTGTCTACAATATTCTTTTTGTTGAATGTTGGTGATACCCCCTCCTTTCCTTCCATCCTTTGGGGATTAAAAAGTGCTAGCTCTTTTATCAGGTATTGACAAAATTGACAAGGCCTTAAACCAATTTTAAGGTCAATCCTTTTCAGGTATATATTCAAAATCTGTTTTTCTAGATATAAATGTTTTTCAGGTACATGTTCAAAATGTTTTTCTAGATACAAATATTTTTCTTCCTTTTCTTTTCGGAGGGAATATAATTGTCCTTTCTTAGTGCTGAAATCATATTCATCTAAAGCAGTTTCCTCCTTCTTTTCTTTCTTCTCTCAATCCCTCTTTCTTTTTCCCTCTCTTGGAAAATGAATGATTAGCTGCTCAAAAGAGTCCTTCACTTTTTATGTGCACATTCTAGGAATGTACGGTCCAGATAAACAGGCAAATGTCTGAAATAAAGGAAGACAGAGTTATTAAGATGTATTTCATTTTGTGGATTTACGTAATAGCTTTTATTATTACAGTTGTAAGAAAAAAAGAAAGGGCATTGTTTTCAAGTTAAAAGAAGATACCATTTTTGGCATGATTCAGAGTCTCCAAAAAATTAATTTAATAAATTAATAATTTAATAAATTTAATGTCAGCATAATATTTTGATATGAACAAGGCAGGGGTTAAATTTCATTTGATTAAACTGAATTTCCTGCATGGGTTTTACAAATATTTTTTTGGTTTTACAAATAATTGTTTACAAATTAAACAATATTCCACTACTCCATAACTTGTTTGAAGTTTTAAAATATACATATAAAATTGCAATTAACTAAAATGAGTGATAACAATGAATGCCTTTTTAAAAGTTTAATTTTATGACTTCTTACTTGGAACAAATCATAAGAATTTAATGTTTTAACTAAAATTTAAATTTCCTAATTCTTAACTAACTTAAAGACCTTAGACAAATAGTTAATAATCTTTGGATGCTTAAATGATTTCTGAATAAGGAATACATACAAAACAGTGGTTATTCAATATAAGGAATTGAATAAATACAATTTTTTACTTTATTTTTTACAAGGGTAATAGATGAATAAAATATGCTTTTGAATTATACTTTTTAATTATACTTTAAAATTATTTACAGTGTAGGACAAATACTAGTAGACAGATAAATATCTAAATTCTTCTTTATTTTCTCCCCTCTAACTGTTCTTATGCTTGATGAAAAGGCGATTATTTTGGTCAAAGATGATAATTAATATAGACAGTTAATACAGAGAAATACAAATATGCATACAAGATAATGAACATGATTTTCTCGTTGTTTATTCAGAGAATAATTTAATACACACATTGTTTTATTTAATAGATTTAATTTTAAAACTATAGTTCAGTACTTTAAATTCATTACTTTTTAGTTTATATATTAGTGAATGTCTAAATGCATATGTATGAGGGCATATTAATAAATCTTTTACTATAGATTATTAAACATGAATAACGTAAAAAAAGAGTAAAATTAGAATTAGAGTCTTTTTAACATAAAATAATTAGGTTATTTTTTACTCAGGAGTAAAGATATCTTTTTGTCAATAGAATATTCTGTTCAAATTGAACACCAATAAAAAATAAATTTTAAAAAAGCATATTCTGTTTTATTTCAGTGCTTTTGACATACTTTTAAATCCTTTTTTAAAAGCTTCCTTGCATTCAAAATAAAGTTTCTAATAACCTTTGTTAATTGCTGAGTGCTTTTACAATGTTGCCTATAAGAATTTCTTGATTCTGGATACTTATAAGTTATATCTTGTCTCCTTAAACAACTATTCTTGATTCTTTCTTCCCCAAATTCAGGTCCCCAAATTAAATATAAGGTTATCAATACATCTTTTGTGCCTAAACCATCTTGGGGTTTTACTACAATGGCCAAGGAGTAACACAAGCTTTGTTCCTTCATCCTACAAAAGGAAGGAAAAATGGGAATAATTAGATTTCTAAAAATCCTTTGAATTTTAATGAATCTAAAACCAGTATGAGGGTGTATTTGTTTACCGAACAAGTAGTAAAAAAGCTGATAAATTAGTCCCCCAAAGTTGATTATACTTAGGTAAAATGTGCTAATATAAATCTCTTTCAAGGATTCCATACTTTTTAGGTTTAAAAGAAGCATGTTCATGTTTAAATGCAAAGATTCCTGTAACTGATAGGAATAAAAAGATTTCTTTCCCACAGGGTTCTAGGTTTACAAACCCTTTCTCTGGTGTGGTCATGACAACTGAACAAGCACTAGACTTTCTGACTCAGTTTCATGGGAATCATCAGAGACCAACTTCTGATTTCACTCTTTCAGTAGACCCGGTAGCCACAGTATAACCGTCTTGTTTAGAGTGATAACAGCTCCGAGCAAGGCTGACAGGAACCTTAAGTCAACTTAGTCAACATAGTTCTATGTTCTCCACTAAATAGTCTCCCTGTTGGGGGCACCTGGCTGGCTCAGTAGGTGGGGCATGGGACCCCTGAACTCCTGAGTTCAAGCCCCACGTTGGGTGGAGGGACTACTTAAAATAAATAGTTTTCCTATTGTACAGACTTTCCTATTGATAGAAATGACTTGGGACTTTTCAGCCAATCACAGAAGCTCCTATACAATTTTGTTGGTTTCCCTTAAAACATCCGTTGCTGTAACATTAAACCAAGCTACTCTCCTTTCCTCATCTGTCAAAATAAAAAAAAAAAAAAGAAAGAAAAAGAAAAAGAAGGCCATGATTGGTTATCTTAGTGACGGAGGTGTCCATACCTTGCACGGGCCTTCTAGATTCTCCTTTGGATATCCCTGATTTAATTCTCTTGGTTGGTTGGTTCATCCTTAGAAAAACCTAAAATCGCCAAGCAGACTATGCTATCGCTGACTTGAATTTACCCTTGAAATATAAACTTTACTCTATATAAATAAATAAAATTAATTCAGACGACACAGTTAATTGCCTTTCCCCGGACTTGCTGACAAAAGGATGAAAGAACAAATATTTGTACGTGGAATATGATTTTGGATTCATCCCTGAATTCAAAATACCTTAGAAATAGAGATTGCCTGACACTGTAAGACTCTGTATAAAGTAAATAATGAATCAAAGAACCTTGAGACATTTTGCTGTTACCCAAAGAAACGGCCGTAATAAAAGTAGAGTTTAGCCAGGCTCCTTCATGATACTACCTACAGTAGCAGAGATAAACTGGCAATGGTATTAAAACAACACTGGAAGGGTCATTTGAAGGTATTGCTAAGGCTGTTCCCACGCTTGCCCTACCTGCCATCGGCACGATTCTAGCAGTCTGTAAGGGCAGAACATGGACAACCACAACCCCAAGGCTCCTTTGAAGATAACCAGGTCTACAGACTTTTAAAGCTTTTCTTTGCTGCAGAGCCCTGGCCGTACGGCAGGGGGAAAAAATTGCTTAATTTGGAAACCCCCACTTTTCTCTTCTGTAAGAGACACACATTTCACTGATTCGGTCATCAAAGAACTGTAAAGCTTTACCTTTCATTTAGAAACATCACTGTCCTTATCCACAAACAACAGGGAAAGTAACAAGAACTAATGGAACCCTAACACCCTCAAACTTCTAAGGATTGAAGTATTTCCATTGGCCTTGATTTCAGGCAATGAGATCAATCCCCCCCTAGAACCCACAAATCATCTCCTCCTGAGTACGTAACAAGCTGCCTTGTGCGTTTGGCAATTACTTCCAATCCCTGATCCTATCTTATTGTGATCTAATGTGATGACTACAGGAAAGTCGTATTTCCAAAATATTCTCCAAAGCAGACTTTGTGTGGTCTTCTGGAAAAGACGTCAGGAAAAAACATCTCTTGACCCTAGGTGGAGAGGACCTTATTGCTGTCTTTAACAACTGACAGTGCATGAACACACCAATACTTTAATTTTTGGACTCATGTCTCCCAACAAAAAAAGACACATGAACTCCCTCACAGCTACTGGAAGCCCATTTCTTGAAAGACTTCAAACTGAAGATTTTTAGAAATTCTCCAGAAGCTGTGGATTTACAGAAGGCCAGATTATTGACTCCCGAAGCAGACAGCTTTCACACAAGACAGAACAAAATTACTTTTCTGATTCTTTAGCACTCTCTTCTTTCCCTTTACTACTCATTTTGTTCATTACCGTAATTTTACCCTATTAGCTGATATGATCTCTCTTATCTTCATCCTGTGACCCATTACCGTCTCTGCCACTTAAGAGAAAACAAGATTCTCTGGGTTGTTTTCTTCTTTTCTTTTCTTTTCTTTCTTTTCTTTTCTTTTCTTTTCTTTTCTTTTTTCTTTTAGTAGGCTTCACACCCAGCATGGAGCCCAGTGTGGGGCTGGAACTCACAACACTGAGACCAAGATCTGAGCTGAGATCAAGTCAGATACTTAACTGACTGAGCCACCCAGGCTCCCCTCTGGGTTGTTTTTTTCTTAGATCATAGCTACTTTCCTGAATTTAACTGCTCACTGACAAAATTCAGTAGCTAAAAACAAGCACACCAAAAAAAAATAAAAAAAAATAAAAACAAGCACACCAAAAAGCAAATAAATAAAAAATCACTTCAAGATGGAAATGTTCTTCTATATATCCCTTCTGATATTTAAGTATCCCTCACATAATTAACTCCAATTTCAGTCTTATAAAAATTGTACGTTGCCCCATGTCAACAGAATGCTTCTGTTGAAGTCCTTACAACCTATCAGCAAAACCTAACACTTTGGGAGTGGGAACAGAGATTTCTATCCAACCTGGATAGAAATCATTACCTTATTTTCTTCCACAACCTTCCAGCCTGCTTTGCAGGACCTGTTAGACTCCACCCAAGAAATCTATCCACTTCAAGGGACTCTCCACCACAGATGCTCAAATAAAGAAAAAAGCTCATTCCTGTTGTGATAAATGATTCTTGAATTCCAAGTACCACTAGTCTACTTCTTTTGTGGACATCGGGCTTATATCCACCTGCCACACACTAACGTATCCTGTGTATTCAACAAGACCATCATTAGAGGATGTCAGATGTTTAAAATTATCACTCCCGCAGGAATCATGTTTCCCTAAAAAAGAATACACAGACACATCTGAAAGAGTCAGGCACAAGCTGATTGAAAGAACTCTCAGGAGAGATAACCGACCCTCTGGCACGCACACTGTGCAAGCAACAACTACCAGAGTGGGAATAATGCAACTGGAAAATATCACTCATAACTTGTCTCCGGCCCTCGTAAGAGTCTCACTTATTTAAGGTGTACAGCTTCTGTTCTGGAAGCTGACAAGACTCTCTCCTTGATCAAACTCTAGGCGGGCTCCTCTGAGTCCTCTTCTTGACTAGGCTTCCACCTTGGCCTATAAAGACTTGAATGAAGGACTAACAGTTATTTAACAGCTCAGGGCCACATCTCTAGGATGCCATAACCTCCTCTTCTTATAGAGCCTGAAACAACTCGAGGCTACTGGAAGAATTTACTGTTTGTTCTAGCCAACACCTGAGGGTAGGGCTCCTGTCTCCCAGCCTCTGTGGAAGGGTAAGATCCTAAGCTTTAAAAGTGTCAGCAAACTCAGATGCAATTCACATGGGCCAACCTCCCTTTTCATTTTTTTTAATCACTTTTCACTTCCCTGACACTGCTGAGCTCCTATTTACCCACCCACCCCACCCATTCCTTCCTTCTTCCTTAAAAATATCCACTCACCTCTGTAAAAATTGAAGTTGAGTTCAGTTCATGCTGGACTCTTTTCTCTATTGCAACAGTATATTACTCATTAAAATCTGTCCTTCCTTTAACTAGTGCCTGGCTTTGTTTATCTTTGACAGAGCCCAGGTTTAGAAAATTTTATACTAAAGTAAACACTTATTACTGCACCTGAATAAATATTGCATAACAGCCTCTGACTGGAGGTATGGGTGAAGGGAAGCTTCCTGGATGTTTAGAAAGAACAGGAGGATTTGGGGGACATGTTTCCATTTTCTGAGTATGATAGAAGGACATGTTTCCTTGTTTTTCAGGGTCTGCTATAAGAACTAATAACCATTTTTGTTCCTGCGAAGTCCTGCTTCCTTGATTCTTACCCCCAAATCATCTAATGCAAGCATCCTCTTTCTGAGATGTCCCATTTTCCCTTCGTGCGCATTCCCCCTTGACATGACAAGTCAATAGACCCAACTTTGTTCAACTACTGGTATAGTCTCAACGGCCTTCAGCTAGAAGACAGTGACTCCGAGAATCCGCATAATGATCTAAAGAATAAATCGATATGGTAAAACAGTTAAATGAACCTACCCAAAGAGATGGTTTGTAAATATATTTCTGATGCAGCAAGGATGTTTTTCAATCCTCCTTCAGGCACTTATGTGAAGGTGTAACTCAGAAAACATGGTTGACATGGAAATAATGTCAAAGAAAGAAAAGCTTTTTTTCTTTAATTCAGCACTTCCCAAAGTATCTTCCATGAAATATGAATCCCATAAGATACTCTGTAAAAGACAAGGCTTCCATGTTTAAATCAGCTTGAGAAATACCGCAAGCTCTAGTGTTCCTCTCTTGGAGATTCGTAATGCACGTTAAAGGCTCTCTGAGGGTCCTGCAGGAAGACAGAACCAAAAAAAAAAAAAAAAAAAAGGCTGATTTATACACAGCATCCTTCCTTTTTTTTTGATCCTGAAAACTTTTGTGCACATTAACACATTCTGAGAACTAATGTTCTACACAATCTTACTTGGGAAATGTTGATGTTATTATATAATTTTTCTGGAACAAGGTTTGGATAGAACAAAAAGAGAACTCCCACCTAATGGGCCAGTTCCACTAGCAAGTGTTCTAGTGTTTGAGTCAGAGAGTTCTAAACGCTCACTTTTGGATAAATTAGCATTTCTGAGCATCCATTACCTCATTTGTAAAATGGAGATTGTATTAATTTCCTCGGGCTGCCTTAACAGAGTTAAGAACTAGAGCCTTAAACAACAAACATTTATTCTCTCATGGTTCTGGAGGTAGGAAGTCTGAAATCTGGGTATCAGTAGGGCCAGGCTCTCTTAGAAGCCTCCAGGGATGAATTCTTCCTTCCTTTTCTAGCTTCTAGTGGTTACCCGTGATCTTTGGCATTCCTTGGCTTGTGGATGCCTTACTCCAACCTCTTAACTGTCCCATGGTATTTTCTTTTGTGTCTTCACATCATCTTCCTACTACATATCCTGTGTTGCTGTGTCTTCTCCTCTTCTTACAAGAACACAAGTTATTCGGGTTAGGGCCCATCTTCATCCAGTATGACCTCATCTTAACTAATTATATCTACAAAGATCCTGTTTCCAAATAAGGTCTTATTTACAAATATCTGGGATTAGGATTTGGACATATCATTTTGGGGGACATAATTCAACCCACAACAAGGATATTATATAACATTGATTTCACGGGGTTGTTGTAAGCATTAAATGAGAAAGAGAGCGAGAAGGCATGCTTCACACAGTCCTTGGCAGTGGGTAAATGCTCCCCAGCTGTTCCACCCTCATGAATGAATGCAGGAATGACTTAGCTCCAACATCTGTCATCCCACTGACCATGAGGAGGAGTTGATGACCTCAGTTCATGTTCATACGAAGTGTAACAAGTAGACTCCTCTTCGTGTTTGCTAGAAAAGCATACTGTACAGAAATACTGATAACTCTTGGATTATTTTGACATGCTTATGATGAAAATCTCTCAAGACCATTTCCACTACTTTCTTTCGGTCTATTCCTACCAGGCAATCTTCTAATAACTCATCTGCTTCATCAGGCCTCCCTGGGAAGGTGGACTTTGAATTGTGAACTGGAAGATTACAATAAAGGGAAAGTAGAATCTCCCATTAATATGTGTTCAAACCAGAATAACCAGAATTCTGGGTTAAAAATTATTTCCCTATGAGTTTGACTTGTGTAAACTGATTTCTTTAGGCCTAGGAGTAGACTGACAAGATGAGAGTTCTCCAATGCAGAGCTGAGGGCCACCCCTTTTTGAGATGACTATAGGGCCTTAGTTCTGATTGCATGAATAGTGGCTTTTGATCTGTCTCCACAGCAAGTCTCGGGTTTCTTGCTTTGATTATAGGGAGAATGGTGAGGCCGTTAGCTGGGATCAGGAGCACACACTCTAGAGCTCAGGAGACAGGTCAAGGCTACAGATACAGTTCAGAAAGATCATCACACAGAGGCTAAAAGTCTGTAGGCCTAACTTGGGAAAGGGAATACAGAAACACAAGGAAATTGGAGATAGTGTGTTAACTCGATCTTATAGAAAATTAAAATTTCTACTGGTTGGCAGGGCTAGGGTAGAAGGACAAAGAGATGAGGCATGAGAAATAAGACAGGTATGTGACCAGCCAGAGGAATTCTTGTGGGTTTCATTACAAATGGCCTTTTTTTTTTTTTTTTGGATGGAGTCCTATCCGTATGGCCATATAGAACCTACTGTAGTCTTAAGGACCCTGACTTTAGAGCCAGGATTCTGATAGAATCTTAGGGAAAGCTCATATCTAAGGCCAGGAAAGAATCTGGAAAAAGTAGAAATGGATCTAAAAGCAATCAAGTCCTTAGACATTTTGGCCACGAAGACCACTTTTCCCATCTCGAGACCAACAGGGCTTGTGCATTGCGATGAGAAGGGCAGCCAGGGAAAGTTGGGAAGCAGCCTGCGCTCTGCCCTAGGGTGTGGCAAGTCTTCAGGGACACCAGCAGCTATAGATGCTGAGGAAAATCCCTTATCATAGGCAGACATGGAGTCCAGCAGGTACAACCACAGACAAGAAGTCACCAGAAAAGTTGGTAACAGGTGTTCCACTAGAGAGGGGTGTAGTGGGGATAAAAAATGGACCTTACAGCAGGGATTCCTTGAGCAACCAGGGAGCAAGGCAGGACTCATGGGGAAGTCCATCTGAAAGCTGCAAGACCATTTATGGTCAGGCCACCGTGGAAAGACAGGGTCAGTACAGACAGGCCCTGAATCCTGGAGTCCTTGAATCCTAGGGAGTCCTGGGTCTTAGAGTCCCTGAGTCTGGAGGCCCTGGGTCCTAGAGGCTTTGGGTTTGGGAGGCTATGAGTCCTGGAGACCCTGAATAATAAAGGCTCTGAATCTTGGAACCCCTGAATCCTGAGATCCCTGAATCCTGGAGGCCTGGATTTTGGAGGCCCTGAGTCCTAGAGGTCCTGGAGTTTAGAAGTCCTTAGTCCTGAAGGACCTGAATCCTGGAGTCTGGAGGCCCTGGGTTTTAGAGGCCTTGAATCCTAGAGGCCCTGGGTTTTGGAAGTATTGAGTCCTGGAGGCTTTGAGTCCTTAGAGGCCCTGGGTCTTGGAGGTGTTGTGTCCTAGAGGCCCTGAGTCTGGAGACCCTGGGTCTTGGAGAGCCTTTGGGCACAGAGACTTAGGCCAAGGATGCTAAGACAGGGGTCCACTTTCCTTAATGAGATGAAGACCAAATCTTAGGAAAAAGAGAGTTGTCCAAATTTAGAGTCAAGGCACAAAGTCAGGATCAGATCAACCCCCAGGGTGACCTGAGTTCCAGAGCTGCTTCCATTCCTCTGCCTGAGATTGGGATTGGTTCTGGGCCCTGCAGGGGCCTGGAGGGGAGTGGGGGTGGTCAGTGGCTGAAAAACTGCCTCAGTTGCAGGGAAGGGATACCCTAAGGAAGCTGGAGCTTTGATTCCAAGAGCACCTTAATCCCTGGAAAGCTTTAGAAAGAAAACACACGCTACCCTTTCTAGAAGCCTCATGTAGCTGACAGCCACAGGCTAAACGCAGGCCCAGCTCAGTTCCAAAATTCCATTTAGCTCAACACTTTCTCTTGAAAATCCTTTAAAACGTTTTGATTGCTCTTTCCGGCCCATATAAAATACAAAATACATCCGACCACGTCGCACTTCAACATTTCAGACTGTTTTAAAAAAAAGAAAGAAAGAAAAAGAAAAAGAAATCGCCTGCTATATGTGGTTTTAAAAATCAGCCAGACCAATTAAGTACGTGATGGGAAGCTGAGAAATACACGAAGAAGTAAATTCAGGGAAAACCAGGAAATAAATTGACAGCCTAATTTCCACCGTCTTGGCGGAAGAGGGGAAAGAGCACGTACACAGCTTCCTGTACTGAAAAGGGGCCAGGCACAAAGCAAGAATCAAGGCTTTGTTTCCTGTGGATTCCACGTTTCAGTTACGAAGAAAACCAAATATGTTGCGAGGCCGGTTAAAACCTGATGAGGATGAAGAGCTTCCCCTGATGCGTAGCATGTTTTCAAGGTCAGGGGCGCCTGGGTGGCTCAGGATCCTGGGTCCCTGCTCCTCCCTCTGCCTGTGTCTCTGCCTCTCTCTTTCTCTGTGTCTCACATGAATAAATAAATAAAATCTTAAAAAAAAAAAAAAACAACATAGGGCAACTTAAAAAAAAAAAGAGTGTTCTCATGGTCAGAGCAAAGCCGCAAGCGTCTAAAACATCGCAGATTATTTTCATCTGAACTTAGACAAATACCTTTTCTTTTCTTTTTTTTTATTAAAAGGTTTTATTTATTTATTCATGAGAGACACACAGAGAGAGGCAGAGACACAGGCAGAGGGAGAAGCAGGCTCCACGCAGGAAGCCTGACGTGGGACTTGACCCCAAGACTCCAGGATCACACCCTGGGCCTAAGGCAGGCGCTAAACCGCTGAGCCACCCAGGGATTCCCCCCCCGCCCCGTTTTCTTTTTTTAAAGAAAAATGTATTTTTGGACAGAGCCTAGTGACCCCTGTCACCGAGGACCCCCCCAGCCCCGCCCTGCCCCCATCAGTGCTCAGGTGCGCTTCCCCTTCGGGTGCCGAGATCTGGGCCCTGACCTGTCTCAGGACCTGCACACCCCAACACGACAGCCCCCAGGAGGGACAAGGGATGCGCCTTACACCACTGGGTGCTGCGGGGTTGCCATAAAGCCCTCAGGAGCAGGGAATCTTCTGGATCGTCTTTACAAGGATTTCATGGTGGGCTTTTGCCCAGCACCCAGGCGGCCAGCACCGGGACAGGAGACTGCCACCAGATGACGTCCCAGGTCTTCTGCTGGGCCCCTGTCTCTGGGGCTCCTCACTCCCACATGGAAAATCCTTCCAGCAAGCTCCCCTCAGTCCGCTGGCCACCTAGCCTTAGGGGATCCCTGCTTCCCTGGCTTCCAGCTCCCCACCTTTGCGGGCCTGCTGGCCTGCTCCCCTGGGGCCACTCAGTCCCCAGGCAGCCCCAGGGAAGCCGAAGGGGCTACTTTGTAGAGGAGGAAACATTCAAAGCTGTGGGATCCCGGGGGGCCCAGCTCCCGGCTCCCTGGCTCAGGGCTCCCCGGCCTCCCCGGCCTCCCTGGCCTCCCCAAGCTGCAGAGCCAGGGCCCGTGGGCCTGCCCGGGAAGTGAACACAACCTCAGACCTACAGGAGCCCCCGGGGGGGATAAACCAGACAACTCGAGACACAAGCAAGGTGAGGGGGGCCCTCGGCACGAGATGCCACAGGGAGCGGCCCTGGGGACCCGGATGGCCATAGGGTACCCGGGGAGAGGCTGGCTGTGGGGAGGCCGGGGGCTCGGGCACAGAACAGGACGCG